GTCTTATGTCAATGTACATTTGGGGGTGTGTCCACCTTTTAGTCACTATGAACACTGCTGCTGTGAATCTGGGTGTACAGATAAATGTTCCATTGTGGGCAAGTGGACCATGCTGCCAGACAGAAGAACTGCTAAGGTTGAGTGAGCACAAACCCTGTGAATCTCAGAATTGAGAGTAGTAGGAGTGGGGCCTGCCTAACTCTGCTCTAGAACATGTAACCACAACAACCCACTGAGAGGACCAGGACTGTCATTCACTTAGGATGAACACCTAGAGCCCTTCCCCAAACACCAGGGAAGCATCTCTTCCTGGAACCCACCCTACTCGGCAATGTTAATGAAGTCCCTAGCCACATGGGATAAAGTGCAGGTGTAATTTCAGTGAGAATCATCTGAGAGGGTCAGTTTTACTGAGGTGTAACACTCAGCAAAGAGGTTTCTCTCCAGAAGCTTTCATTGGTGGACCCGTGTGGTGCGTCTATTTCAAATAGTTTCTCCCATTTTGTATGTGGTCTTTTTACTACTGTGTCATTTGATACAGTTTTAACTTAAAGATTTACTTATTTATTTTTATGTGTGTGATCATTTGGCTACCATCTCTTCAGCTCTAGTTTTTACTTTTTTTCCACAAAAGTTTAATTAAGACTTTTAGTTAGCATAGAACATCCTGGGTTTTATTATGGAATTTTCATGCATGTGTATCATTTGTTCATGTCACCCCCTCCTCCTTTCCTCCAACTGACATCTTCCATAGATCCCCTTCTGTTCTCACAGTACCAAATCTGAATATTTTCTAGTTTATCTATTTTTTGGTGCTTTTCATATCATATCTTAGAAAAATAAAACAAAACATAAAAAGGAATATAGAAGCATTTTACTTTACTAATTTAAATAATACTTATTGCCAGACTAGTAACACAATGTTAGATTGAACTCCTAAACCTAAGACACTCAAATGCTGGGAATAACCAGCGTTTGGGGTGACCTCAAAAAACTTTAGTTATTTATTACAATTTTCTACTCTACCAGTCCTAAATGAAAATCAAATTAGAACAGACCTAGAAACCCTTTGAAAACTATAGAAAACATAAGGTTACTTAAAGCAAGCATCCAACCTCTGTATAGAAACATAATGGAAAGGACTTAGTAATGAAAGACCTAAGCTCAAATCCCAGTTTAAGGACTGCCACTTTAGTTATGATACAGGGTTCATGCAAGAGCACTCGTGCATGATAGCTTTGTGGGAGTGTTATGCCCAGGTCTCAGGAACCCCAGGAGACCGCCAGAAATTGCTATACTGGGGTAATAATCAAAGAGAGTTTTTACTGTGTGAGTCTGGACCTGGATCACAGTCCTTCCTGCTCCACAGGTTAGGAATGTGATGCTGGAGTCTAGGGGGTTGATATGAAGATGCATAAGCTGGGGCTCTCAAGCCCTGGCATTACATGATTGGGTAGAGAGTAAAGGAGTATTGTCCTTCAAACCCAATAGCATTTGTTCAGATAAAGAGGAGGAATGGAGCAACTGGAAAGGACCTTTCTGACCTGGGAAGAAGTAACTCATTCCATTATCAGACATCAATGTGTTTTTACAAACCCGTCACAGCTGTCTGGGAACACTTAACTGTCTCTTTCCCATAGGTCAAGAGTGGGCCTTATCACTTGAAAGATACTAACTCCTGCCTCCTTCAAAGGCAAGAGCCATCTGCACCTGGGAAGTGCTAGTGGTTAGAATTACCACAAAAAGGGAATGCAGTGTAAAGGAAGTGCAATGTTTGGTGTGGCTAGCTGTTGAGATGTGGAGGCTAGGTTGGGCTGCCCTTTGTTTGCCCTTTTCAAAGGCTGAGGGCATCTGCACTGCAGGTGGGGGAGAGGGAGGAGTGCTGGCCATTATGGCTCAGCAGCAGGGACAAGAGAGTGTGAGATTCCATGCACAGAGATGGGTGGGGGTGGAGCAGGTTACCTGCATCTCTTCATTAGAAGGCAAGGAGGACAGAAGCAGACACTGGGTCCTGGTTACCATCCCAACAACTATGAGTCAAGGTAAGTAACTTAATGACACGCCTTACCCATTTTTAAACTTAAGTTTTTGACATCACTGATAGCTTCTCTGTTAATGCTGCAGAATACAGAGAAGTCGTAGACTATTGTATTCTGTGTATTGAGTTTTAGAAACTATTCCTTCTTTACCTGAGATCAGCAAGCACCATGGAATTAGCTGGAAAACCCAATGAACTCAAACAACTGATTTTTACATACAAGTCTACTATAACAGTTGAAGATTCGCCAAGGCGGGGACATTACTTCTTAATGAATAGGCATAGGAAAGAGGACACATTGTAATTGAAAAGGTTGCTTGGAATACAAGAACAGCTCATTTGTTTTTTGAGGATTATTTTGTCAGGTCATTTGTATCAAGTCTTATGTAAATAAGTAGAATGGAGAACCTTTCAAGAGGTAAGATTGGAGAGACATAGACAAGCCATTTATTTTGATGATCTTTACCGATTACCAAAAATTTGTGCTTTTATATCATGACACATTATAGATTTTAAGAGTAGAGTTTTACCTATCTCCTCATTTAACACTGCATTACTGAGCCTATAAATGATCTGTAGTTAATTCCAATGTACTACATGGTTCTTGTTCTTATCAAATGGTGTCCAATTGCCAATTTTGTCTGTACCACTTTTAGAAGAAAATTTTGTCATCTATTTGTTAAGAATTTGATTCTGATTTTCAGATTTTTTTGTTAAAAATTTCTGTTTTTAATTATAGGTAGGTATATGTGGCAGCCATCTGGTGGTGGTAGTGGCTATTGTGGATGTAAATGAAGGTGCTGGCATCAAGAGATTGTGTCAGAGCTCTTGGAGGTGACTCCCTCTAACCCTAAACCTCTAACCCCTGAACCTAACCTTCTCCCTCTAACCCCCTAACCTCTAAAACCCAAACCCTAATCCCTCTAACCCTACTCCCTAACCTACTTCGCCAACCATATCCCTAACCTAAGCCCAGCCTCAACCCTGTCTAGTTTAACCCTATTCCCCTAACCCTTCCACCTCTAACCCTATCCCCCCTAAACTTTTTTTTGTTTTTGTTTTTTCAAGACAGGGTTTCTCTGTGTAGCCCTGGCTGTCCTGGAACTCACTCTATAGACCAGGCTAGTCTGGAAGTCAGAAATGTGCCTGTCTCTGCCTCCCAAGTGCTGGGATTAAAGGCGTGCACCACCACTGCCTGGCTTTCCCCCTAACCTTTTAACCCTCACTCCAACCCCAACCCTAACCATCTATCCCCCTAACCCTACCCCTTCGAACCCTATCCCTCTAATCCTAACTCCAGCCCCAGTCCTAACCATCTATCTCTATCCCCCTAACCTTAACTTTCGAACCCAAAACAACTTGATCACAATAAACTCTAGGCATTTACTTTGACCAGGTGTTTGAACTGTTTTGGATCTATAGAGCTTCAATACACAAAGGCTTTAGCACACTGAGCATGTTCATAAGGCTTTTCTGAAGTATCTGTTCTTTTCTGCATTCAGAGATAACGTGAAGGTCAAAGGCTGCACATTGCTTCCATTTACAGGCTTCCAGTGTATGGAAATACAAATGCTTTTGCTATAATAAGGACTATAGAAATGTGCAATGGCTACGGTTTCTCTCCAGTGTGATATACTTTTATGCATTTTGTCTTAATTTGGGTTTTATTGCTGTAAAAAGATACCATGACCAAGGAAGCTCTTATAAAGCACAGCTTTTAATTGGAAGTGGTGTACAGATTGAGGTTCAGTCCATTATCATCAAGGTGGAAAGAATGGCAGTGTCCAAGCAGACATGATGTGGGAGAAGCCAAGAGGTCTACATCTTGATCACAAGGCAGCCAGAAGACTCTTCTGCCCTGGGTGGAGCTTATGCACTGGATCTCAAAGCCCATCCCCACAGTGACACACTTCCGCAAAGAAGGTCATACCTACTCTAGAAAAGCCATACCTCCTAGTAATGTCACTTAGCCCGGGCCAAGCATATTCAAACCACCACACCTTTGTACATCACTGTAACCTGTAAAGGTTTTACTACACTGGTTACATTCATAGGGTTACTCTCTAGTATGTGTTCTTTTATGTACTTGGAGGTGACCTGACTGTGAATAGGCTGTACCACATTCATTGCATTTGTAAAGTTTCTCTCCAGTATGAATTGTTTCATGATTTTGAAGTTGACTATGAGAGGCAAAGGATTTACTACACTGCTTACACTCATAAGGCTTCACGGCAGTATGTGTTGTTTCATGTATTCAGAGACTAGCTTTAACCATAAAGGCTTTACCACATTCATTACATTTGTAAGGTTTCTCTCCAGTATGAATTCTTTCATGATTTTGAAGTTGACTATGAGAGGCAAAGGATTTACTACACTGCTTACACTCATAAGGCTTCACGCCAGTATGTGTTGTTTTATGTATTTGGAGACTGGCGTTAACCGTAAAGGCTTTTCCTCATTCATTACATTTGTAAGGTTTCTCTCCAGAATGTGTTCTTTCATGATTTTGAAGTTGACCATGAGAGGCAAAGGATTTACTACACTGCTTACACTCATAAGGCTTCATGCCAGTATGTGTCATTTTATGTATTCGGAGACTAGCGTTAACCCTAAAGGCTTTTCCACATTCATTACATTTGTAAGGTTTCTCTCCAGTATGAATTCTTTCATGTCTTTTAAGATCATTCTGACCTGCAAAGCCTTTACCACAATGATTACATTCATAGGGTTTCTCTCCAGTATGTGTCCTTTTATGTCCTTGAAGAAGACCAGGATATGCAAAGGCTTTACCACATTGATCACATTCATAGGGTTTCTCTCCACTATGTTTTCTTTTATGTATTCGAAGACTAGTGTTACACGGAAAGGCTTTACCACATTCATTACATTTGTAAGGTTTCTCTCCAGTGCGTGTTATCATATGCCTTTGGAGATGACTGTGCTGTGCAAAGGCTGTACCACACTAATTATATTCATGCGGTTTCTTTCCAGTATGTGTTCTTTGATGTACTTGAAGACTACAAGGACGTGCAAAGGCTTTACCACATTGATTACATTTGTAGGGATTCTCTCCAGTATTCAGTCTTTCATGACTATGAAGTTCCGAAAGGTATGTAAAGGCTTTACCATATTGCTTACATTCATAGAGTTTCTCTCCAGTACGCGTTCTTTTATGTCTTTGGAGATAACTGAGTCGTGCAAAGGCTTTATTACATCCATTACATTTGTAGGGTTTCTCTCCAGTATGTATTATTCTATGCATTTGAAGTTGACCAGGATATGCAAAGGCTTTACCACACTGATCACATTCATAGGGTTTCTCTCCAGTATGTGTTCTTTTATGTACTTGGAGAGAACTATGATATCCAAAGGCTTTACCACATTCATTACATTTATAAGGTTTCTCTACAGTATGTGTTATCATATGCATTTGGAGATGACTGTGTTGTGCAAAGGCTTTACTGCACTGATCGCATTTATGGGGTTTCTCTCCAGTATGTGTTCTTTTGTGCACTTGAAGATTACGAGGATGTGCAAAGGCTTTACCACATTGACTACAGTTGTACGGTTTCTCTCCAGTATGACTTCTTTTATGACTTCCAAGTTGAGAATGGTATGAAAAGCCACATTGTTTACATTCATAGGGTTTCTCTCCTGTATGTGTGCTTTCAAGTGTTTGAAGGTGATTGTGTCGTGCACAGGCTTTATCGTATGCATTACATTTGTAGGGTCTCTCTCCCGTATGACTTCTTTCCCGTAATAAAGCTGATTACTCCTAGTAACATTGCTAAGTTTAGGTGAGAGGGGCAGTTTATGAGAGTCAATAACATGTCTATGATGAGGAGAAAGTCTCCTGCAAAGATAATTGGCATATGTGAAAGCTTTAAGACAGTTACCACACCGATGAATCTTTTTATCCATAGGAATTAATTTTACAATTTGTTCTAATTTTAAAGAGGAATCACATCTTAAGGCTTTATCGCTTTGTCTACACTCATGGTTTCCCCTTCGTTATGGGTTGTTTTGCATCTTTGAGGATATCTCTAACGGTAAGAGAGTTTTTATGAGGCTCACATTCATAGCATCCTTTTTCTCTATGAGATTTTTCACAGATTTGAAGAGACGGAAGCTCAGAGCTTTACCACACTGAGTACATGCAGAGATTTTCCTATACTGTGAAGTACACTACACTTACATACGACATTGGCAGAGTGAACCAGGACAAACAGAAAAGAGTTTCCATAGTCCTAGAATTCAGAGAAATGGTCTGCAGTGTGAGTTTATGGACATATTCCCAATGAAGCTGGAAAACCAACTCATAAACTTGTATCACACTAAAAAAGTCTACTCAAATGGGGACTACTACATATATTTTCATTGTTCTGGGAGAGAGAGAAATACGTTGCTTCTTTCAATATCCCTATGCTCACATGGCTTCTATCCACTGTGACATGGTAATACCTACTAAAAGAATAACAAATGAAAGATTTCTACATTGTATTCACAGTTTGACTTTCTCCCCATCATAGACATGTTATTGACTCTCATAAACTGCCCCTCTCACCTAAACTTAGCAATGTTACTAGGAGTAATCAGCTTTATTACGGAATACTTGCTTAGTAAAAACATATACTTAAAGGCAGACCCAGAGCAAGGGAGCCTCAGGATCCAGCATTAGTCTCAAGGCAGCCAATTTGCTTGCCTGTCTGTCCATCTTTGGAGTCATGGAGAGAGCCAGTCTGATCCAGAAGGCCAAGTTGGCCAAACAACCCGAACGCTATGAGGACATGGCACCTTTCAGAAAGGGTGCTGTGGAAAACAGTGAGGACCTCTCCTACGAGGAGTGGATCCTGCTCTCCATGGCCTACAAGAACATGGTAGGTGACCAGAAAACAGCCTAGAGGGTCCTGTCCAACATCGAGCAGAAGAGCAGCGAGGAGGGGTCTGAAGAGAAGGGCTCCCAGGTGAAAGAGTACCGGGAGAAGGTAAAGACCAGCTCAGAGGTGTGTGTGACATGGTGCTAGGCCTGCTGAACTCTCACGTCATCAAAGGGGCTGGAGAGGCAGAGAGCCGTGTCTTCTACCTGAAGATGAAGGGTGACTACTACTGCTACCTAGCCAAGGTGGCCACTGGTGATGACAAGAAGCACATCATTGATTCTGCCCAGTCAACCTACCAGGAGGCCATGGACATCAGCAAGAAGGAGATGTTGCCCACCAACCCCATATGCCTGTACCTGGCTCTGAACTTTTCTGTCTACCACTACGAGATAGCCAACAGCCCCAAGGAGACCACCTCACTGGCCAAGACCACCTCCAATGAGGCAATCTGCACACCCTGAGTGAGGACTCCTACAAGGACAGCACCCTCATCATGCAGCTGCTGAAAGACAACCTGACGCTGTGGACAGTTGACAATGCTGGGGAAGAGGGTGGTGAGGCTCTGGAGGAGCCCCAGAGCTGAAGCAGCCTACAACCTCCCTGGCCTGCCTTGCCTTCCAGTCCCCAGCCTGCAGAGAGGACTAAAACTCTGCCCTTCCCAAACTCTGAATGTTCAGCCACACCTTGGAAGGCTCCTTGGAAGGGGTGCACTCAAGCTGAGGCCACCAGGACTGGGGAATCTCACTCTTCATGTAGCTGTCTAGTGGGTGGTTCCCAACGTAGCCCAGTCCTGCTCTCTGCACCCTCCCACTTCCTCCTATGACTCCTGAACCTGCCCTCCCCCTGGGCCTCCCTTGGGCACCTGTTGCTTCTGGATCCTAGAAATTAAGGAGGCTCCCCAACCCTGTGGCTGAGAACTGGACTGGACTGTGGCAAGGGCTGTGTGTGTGTGTATGTGTGTGTGTGACAGAGAGACAGAGAGAGACAGAGACAGAGACAGAGAGGGGCTGCATGTGTATATGTGTGAATTAATGAGATGGAACACATGCTGGCTGGGTGTTACCAGGTTACCAACTCAATAAAGTTGCCCAGTGACACTCAAAAAAAAAAAAAAGGAAACATATACTTATCACTTATTTTATATACACACACAGAGAGACACACACATATATCTTTTGTAATATGTGAGTGGTATGAGACTAAACAGACTGGCAGTTCTACAGAGTTAGCGGTAATATGGCTCTGATTCAATGGTAATATCTGTTAAGGCATTGTTTCCTTGTCTTATTTCATAGAGGAATGCCTTGCAAACATAAATCAGACACCTGAGGTTGCGAGGTATATAGGTTTGTGAGAATTTAGTAATCATCAATACACTTAAAGAAGTGCTTTATTTACACTGTTGCTTTTCTGTAAAACTTCCAGGACACATTAACATTTCTCCAGAGACAAATTCATAGTAACGTGCACATGAATCTTACCTTCCATGTCTTCTAGAATGTTGACCATGTACTTCAATATTATGGTCTTCCCAGTTGTAGCCTAAAATATAGTATCAGAAAATGTATGATATATTATGGAAATTAGGCAAAATTTAAGTTACTATCTTCAGTGAATCTGATTTATTCAACTCATTCTTCCTCATTCTCAATTGAAATTTCAGAAAAATATCAGTACCAAAGAAACAGTTTAGCTTATTTTAAAAAGTGAAAGAAAATTCACTATCTTACCTATAGCAGTGAGGTTCTTGTATGTCTCCAGCATGACATCTTTGTATAAACTCTTCTGTGAAGGATCCAGCAAAGCCCATTCTTCTTGAGTGAAGTTCACATGCACATCATCATAGGTCACTGCATCCTAAAATATTCCATACACATGTACAACAGAAATCATCGTCATACTGACATCACTGTAAATGTATGGTTCTCTGACAATATTATTTGTATAATTCTGGTGCTCCCCCCACTTATTTCTTGACCCAGAAGTTCTAATGTAATTGCTAAGTCATCTTAGAAGGAAACTGAATAGTAAGGTTCACCTCTGTCATTTCTTTGAATAAGATATAGCTTTGCAAGGGAAACGCTAATTAACAGAGAGAGAAGAGAGAGAAAAAGAGAAGCAAACAGTACTGAAGACACATCAGAAAAATTGTATCAACAATTACTAACTATAAAACAAGGGCAAGCTGAGTATATTGGCTCAGGCCTTTATTCCCAGTATCAGGAGGCAGAGGCAGGTATATGTCATTGAGCTGGATGGCAGACTGGTCTATCCAGGCTAGTCAGGGGTATATATTAAGACCCTGTCTCCCCTGTAAAAATCAATCAGTCAAACAAGAAAAACAGAAAGAACCCAGAGGGTTTTATTAAAGTTCCTACAAAGAATTATACATTCACTCCAGTTCTGTATTCATCTTCCAGAACTCTGAAGTCCCCTGGGTTAAACCGTAACCCTAATGAGTTCTTATTAAAAGGGGATGCATCTTTAAACAGTTACAAATGGACAGATGAAAATATTGGCAATGTAAAAGTTGATCCTAAACAAACGACAAAGGACAAGAGAGATAGCTCAGCAATGACATGCAAATAACTGGGAGCAATTACAAGTACTTACAAGGGGCTTTACAACTCTCCACTACTCCAAGTTCAAGAATTCTGAAGCCATCTTCTGACTACTATAGGGACCAGGCATATACATTTCTCTGTGTGCATATTCATGCACACAGCAAAATACACATATTCATTTAAAATATTAAAACAAACACAACAAATAGAAAGATTGTTATGCATCTGCAATTCAATGACTCAGAAAGCTCAGGCAGTTTTAATGTCATGAATACATGCCATCCTGAGAAAAAGAATATTCTCTCTACCCAATTTCACAATGTGGATAAAGATAAATACAACAACATATGGTTTTTTTGTTTTTTGTTTTTTTCCGAGACAGGGTTTCTCTGTGTAGTCCTGGCTCTCCTGGAACTCAATCTGTAGACCAGGCTGGCCTTGAACTCAGAAATCTGCCTGCCTCTGCCTCCCAAGTGCTGGGATTAAAGGCGTGCACCACCACTGCCCAGCAGCATATGTTTGACATGCACCAAAACCTACATTTCAGGCCCATCAGCCAATAATATAAAAACAAACAAACAGCCAAGCATGTTGGCCCGCATTATATCCCAGTACTCTGGAGCCAGAGTCAGGTGGACTTTTACGTTTGAGGCCTGCATGTTCTACATACTTTTAGGAGAGACAGGGCTACACAGACAAAACTTCAAAAACAAAAACAACGAAACTAAAACTATAAAAACACTAGGTTCACAAAATAGCTTAGCACTGAATAACAATTGCTTCAGAGTCTACAACTGTGAAGGCAAGACAACATAAGATGGAAGCCAACTGATCAGGTTCAACCACAACACAGCAGACACAGACACACACAGACACAGACACACACACAGACACACAGACACACAGACACACAGACACACAGACACAGACACAGACACACACACACACACACACACACACACACGAAACAGGTTGAGTCTATAGACTCTCAAATATCATCCCAAATAAGGGATCTAGAAAGGTTCCTCCTCCAAAAGCTTCTACTCAGAGGACTGATTGGCCAGAGCCAGGCTGACTCCATGATAGGCTACAAACTGGCAGTTTGGTACACTAGGCTTAGTTTGTTTCCCTGACCTGGAAAAGTCCAAAACAAGTCAATTCCAGGAAAACTACCCCTCATAGGAAGCCAATCAGGAGCTGCCAGGAGCTGCCAGGAGCTGCCAGGAGCTGCTGCCCCTGTCACCAGACCTGAGCCAAGCCTGAGCCAAGAATAGTTAATCAGCAATAGTTCCAGAAAGTCCCCCAAATTCCCCAGAACCTTGACCAATCCCAAAGACACCTATACCCCTGGAAATTGAGCCAACCAATAAGGATAAAGGTCACTTACTTCTCCCTGGATTTCTCCTAATTGGCTCTAAATTGAGCTTGTAAAAGTTCACATGTCTTTCTCCATCCTAGTGAATGGTAGATCCCTGCATGCTAGAATTCTGCAGAATAAAGTGCTCTTTGCTTTTGCACACTATTTGAGTTCTGGGATCTTCCTTCAGTGAATCTTGGACCCTAAAATTATAAGCTTCCCCAAAGAAAGCCACAAAGGATAGACAAGTGTTCAAAGACATCACCCTATTTGGGAACTTTTTGACTCAGTCAACTACATTCTGACCCTGGTCACTATAGGTTCATGGTAATCCAGGATGCATTTAGTTTAACTTCAATGAGCCTAAGAGTCTGCAGCAGCCCATACACTCTTCCAATGTCCAAATTCTCTTCTGACACTCAAGACAATCTCTTGATTGGCACATCTTGTAAAGTCAGAAAGCATGTTGTTTTTCCAACATACAATGGCACAGAATGCCCCTTCCCATTCCAATAGAGAGGAATAATATATACAGAGTGAAGGAAGTTTAGACCAAAGCAAGAAACCCAGCAGGGCAAACACCAAATTCTGTAGCTCTGTCTCAGACACATGGGGCCTCAGTTTGAAAAGGCTTAGATGGCCCTATCCCTGCAACTTCTCATACATCTCTCGGTTTAGTTACTTGCATTCCCTATATGCAGCCTCCATGGCAGATTCTCATAGCTTAGGTATCTCCTCAACATCCTGTGCTCTCAAAATGCAATGCAGGCTTCATCCTCACAGGTTCGTGCAATGCTCTCTCATTGTATCCTCCCTCACTGGGGCTCTGACTCTGCCAAACACAGATAGCTGGAACAGCACTGAACTGAAACCACAGAGGAAAAATCCATGACCTTCCATCTTCCATCTTTCTTATTTCTAGAACTTGGGTGACCCTGCCCACGTTTGGATTCTATATTGGGTTGGACCCTGGCATACTTGGACCAGAGCTGTAGCAGGTTTTGTACATACCTCCTTCCTTGGACTAGGAATCACTTTGCCTACTAACCCTTCCATTAACTGAAGGCTTGGCAGAAGGGAGTGTTTCCCTTAGGGCACCTTTTTAGGCTTCCAATCCTGAGCAAGGACCTTCTCTTTAATGGTAAAAATCTCTTTGAAAATTCATGCCTCTGTTTTAGCATTTGGCTGCAATCTGTAACTTCCCTTGTTGTTTTTCTTTACAAACCATAGACTTTACATTAATTTCTGCCCCACTTGTTGCTTTTCTTTTCATTGTAGTCCTGAATGAGTCACTAGTAATAATCATCCAACAGTTTCAATATTCCATCTAAGAATATAGCCCATTATTTTTTAAATTCTGCCTTACTCAGTTTCTCAGTACACTGGCAGAATAAGTAAGATTTGGGGTCAAAAACAACACAAATGAGCTCTAGCTAAATTTTTCATGTAGTCCATGTTTGACTGAAATCCTATGACCTCAACTTCTGTCTGCATGACTTGCAAGACTCCAATCTTCCAGGTGCTACAGGAACGTCTGATTAAGCTCTGAGTACAGCTTTCTATCCTGTTTGCCATCTCAAGTCCGGATAGTTCCCACATTCCTCCAAAAGAGAACATTTCCAGGTTCTGTCCAGCAACTAAATCACTTTTTGTCTTCTTTTGTTGTTGTTGTTCTAACTTGTTACTCTGCCGCTGTGACTGACTCCTCTAACCAAAGGCATCTCAGGTCATGAGCAGGTTCATTGGTTTGGTCCTGTCAGATGCACAGATCACCATGCACACTTGAGAAACTTCTGCCTCTCAGAAAACTCCTTTTGTACCCTGGAACTGAATTTCCTTGACTCATATCAGTGTGGTTGGTGGTAGTGGAAAGGTAAAAGGATTTTAATCGAATATTTTTGACGGATGATCCCCATCACCTCCTCTCTAACAGCTTCTAAACTATTTGTAAAATTTATCACAAAAAAACTGAATTTGCAATGCAATGTTCAGATGTGGAGAGCTTTTGGGGCTACTTGGCAGGAATCCCGACATTGGCCAAGGACAAGGAAATGGGCTTTAGGCAGGAACCTGACAGTGGGCCGTGACAAGGAAGTAAGTTCAGGCAGGAATCTAATTTTAAACAGATAAGTAATTTCAGTCAGGAATCCAAGTCTTAGGCTAGAACAAAGAAGTAGGCCTCAGGCATGAATATGACTGTGGGCTAGGACCGGTAAGTAGGCTCAGATATTTTTGTCATCCCAATGAGCCCTTAGAAACAGCCAGAGTGTTCACAGGGGTGGTCATGGGACTTTGTATAGTGCCTTGTTTGTTCCTTGATTGTTTGTATCTATTGTATTGTTAGTTCCTCAACCTAGAACTGACCTAAATACTTGCATGTAATTAAAAGGGTTTAAAAGAAAACTGGGAATAAACAAACCTGCCTTCAGCCTCAGAACTGGCTGGGATAATGCTGCAATTTTGTCTAGTCGTCTCTTTTCTTTTAATCCTCACTCCTGTGCTAGAGAACCTGTTGACTGACTGAGCTACCTTGGTCATTCAGAACTTCTAGAAACCTGATTTTTAGTTTTGAAACCTGTCTTCCCACTGCACACCAAAAGCAATGCTTCTGTGTGCACACTGGGCAGTGATATTATAAGCAACACAGCTTCCTATGGCCAGAGCTGCAAAGCCTCCTCTTCCCCAGGGAATCCACACTCAGACAGGCTCAGAGCCCATGGCCTTCTGCTGAGGTCACCGCATGTACCAACAGAACCACAGTCTGGTTCACAGCCCACTGTCAGTCCAATCAGATTGGACTCTGATAGCTTAGCCAACCTGCTCTTCATGGTGGCTGCCACACTCACCATGGCATGACTTGTGGTCTCCCTCACAGGTCTCTGATGAACTGTATCAGGGGAGAACATGGAAAAAACCTGCAAGCTACCTCCTGCTGGTGTTCTCCTGATTGCTAGCCTGTCTCATTAGCTTTGACCATCCAGCTGGGCCTCAGGACAGTGCCAGCTCTTCTACTGGAGGGTTAGAGATTAAATGAACCAGACAGCACAGGCCTTCCTAGTTCTGTCCTTCCACCCTAGGGGCAGACAGAGCCCCAGTATAGTAAATTTGTATTTTAGTAGAATCTTCCACTCTCCCAGGGCAGCTGTTCATCTTCCAAGGTCCTTTGTGTGCACATTCCATCACACACTCAATGTCCAGTGCAGACATCCCTTGCTTCACAGCTGGGAAGTCCTGCAGTCAAACTCCAGTTGAATTCAAACAGTAACGACTGAAGCAAAAGGTGGCTGGCTACACATTAGAAATCAAGGAACAGAGAATGGGAGGTGAATGAAAAAAGAAATAAAAAAGGAAAGGACATGGCTGTTCCTAGGTATGGTGGAGTAGAAAGCTTATTATAGGTAGAAGGGAGAACAGAGCCAGGGCAGGGGCATCTGGGAGAGTCCAGAGTGGACTAGACCCTGAGCCATGTCAGGAGAGGGTGGAAGGGAGAGCCAGACTAAGAGGTTAGGAGGGTGAATGATAGATGAGAAAGACCAGGTACCCAAAGTGGTTGAATTGCATAAGGAAGGGCAGCTAGGAGAAGGGCACCCCAATCCCTAAGCTAGAGGGCAGGTATACCAGCCTTACCTTGTGATAGGTAGGGACTGAGGGATGCTGGGAGAACTTGACTGTCCAGAGCATTAATAAGATACTGTTTGACCTTGACCCCCTTGTACTGTTACCTGCTGAGACCTGTAACATGACACACACAGCTACAGCCAAAGGGCTGGTGTCTCGACCCTCTGAGTTGACTTAACTATGTCAACAAAGATTGCACCTATCTCCATAGGACAGTCCCCTAATTGGAATTCAATATTCATTGGCTCAATACAACCTCCCCCAAATTGTACACCCACCAATCTGTTCTGTTTTCATTCATATCCATGAATACATGCTGTGAAATCACAAAAGCAGCACCCAGACAGAATCAGGTTCTTCTTTGTAATGGTGACCCCTGCAGCTGACTCCCTTAAACTAAATTGAGGCTGTGATCTACATATTGCCTGCCCCGTTTCACCCTGCAGTGCACACACTAAACCTTCTCCTGTTCTGGTCTGAAAGCAGAAGCCATGCTCCACTTGCAAATCTTTTCCCACCGCTGCAATGGACAGTTAATTACATGACTCAAGAGTACTTTTAAACTGCTGCTATGATATACCCCTTTTACTGAGGATTCAGGAAGTTTAATCAAGAGGAAAGCAAGCCTTGGGGAGCAAGAGATGAGGCTCAAGCTGACCTGAGTCAACATAGCTGGTCTTGGAAGCATTTTTTCTGAAAGGCTGAAGATGCAGCTATTCTAGAATTAATATGTCTTCCACGGGAAAGCTCACTCCACACACAATTAAAAGACTAATTTAAAAAAATCTCTTTAATAATAGCTTGTATTCAATTCTGGTTTGTAGTCACATTTTTGAGAATTCTGGAATTTTGGTTTCTTAAAAAAAAATATTTTGGGCTGGAGAGATGGCTCAGTGGTTAAGAGCACTGACTGCTCTTCCAGAGGTCCTGAGTTCAAATCCCAGCAACCACATGGTGGCTCACAACCATCTGTAATGAGATCTGATGCCCTCTTCTTTTGTGTCTGAAGACAGCTACAGTGTATTCATATATAATAAATAAATAAATCTTAAAAAAAGAAGAAGACTACTTTAAAAAAAATATTCTTAAGAATGTGCTTTCATTTAATTCCAGGTGTAGGGATGTGGGGCTGCTTCTGACTGTCCGAATCCTTTAACCATGATTTGCCTCGTGCTCTAGAAGCGTGGTTTTGCCAGCTACAGATTCCTGTGTTGGTGGGATATCTGGAATTCTGGGAACTTTTTGTAGGGTCCATAAATGTGGGGACCCTCAGAGAGAAGGTGGAGGGTTGTTGGTCTCTTAGGAAGGTTGGTTGTGGCTTGTTCGTAGCTGTGCTCAAAGAAAAAAAACAAAAGAAAATGTTGGGATCCAAAAGCAAAGTAAAAGTTTGCTTCTTCTCTGCAGCAGAGGGGGAGGGGGTGGGGTGCGGGATGGGTGGAGAAGTCTGCCCCCTAGGGAGAGTCAAGGTAGGTCAGGGTCTGTTGGCAGATTTCCCAGCCTGCTGAGGCAGGAACAATAAGAGGAGGTGTGGCTGAGGCTCTAGGGGAGGGCTGAAAGTTCTATTGAGAACAGACATCCTGTGTATATTTCAGCAAATTGTTTCTGTTAGCTTGTGCCTTTGCTTCCCCCCGTAGAGTATAAAACGACTATGAAAAATATACTTGAGCCCGCTGGTTGCTGCTGCTGCAGTATTAACCAGCAGTCTTCCCAAACCTAACTGTTGGTTCTGCGTCTTTCTGCCTTTCCTTTCTTTAATCCTTGCTCCTCACTCAGAGACCACTCCACCCATCTGGTGGATCCAGTACAAGGAAAGAAATTAGATTCAAGGCTCTTTTTCTCCTCCATACTTGTTTCTCTCCTGTCTGGTGTTAGGGGGTGAAACAGGGGATGGCAGGGAGGGAATTAACGGTGGGGAAAGGTAAGAAACCACAAAGTAGCAAAGACCAGCTACACTGGTTAATACTAAAAGAGGAGCCAGCCAAGGATGGATTTTGCATGTCATATATGCTGTCACCCTTAAGTCTCTTTTAGGTTCAGGTCCCAGGTTACGTTTCAAACAATTTAAATATAGACTGGAGACTACAAGTCTAGCTACTTACACAGATGGTTAATTTACACAGCAAACATCATCCCAGGATCATTCCTTAAGTATATCAATGCCTTAAAACAGCAGGTTAATGACAGTGTCCTAAGTGGAAGGTCCCAGATGATTAAAAAAAATCAAAAACAAACACAAAAAACAAAAACAAACAAACAAAAAACATGGTTAAAGGAGAAGGTAGAAAGTATCAAAGCTGGTGTGGGGAGGTCTTGTACAAGTTATGCCTTATGCTAAGTGAGCTCCTGAAGAAGAATACCATCTTGGATACTACTTACATGGGGGAAACAGAAGGAAATGGGAGACTTCTATGTCAGCAGAAAGATGAAGAAACTATGAAAGTAGCTGAAACATCATACAAAAGGACACACTCAGGAGGAGTCCAATCACACAGTGCTGCACAAGGGGAACTCAGTGTAACTCAAAATCATTACTGACCAAGCCGTTAGTGGCATTGGGACTGATACCTGCAGCCCCATATGGTGGGAAGAGTTGTGTTCTCAGAATCTGATGGAACTCCTCCCAAAGACCCTGGCCCCAGACCATGACCAGCTCTGCCAAGCAGATTCCTGGGTTTCAGAGGCATCTATGCCATTCTCCATGCATTGGAACCTCAGGGAAAGCCTTGCTTCATCAGGTCAGTACACAACACGACAATGTTTGTTGGTTTTTTTTTTTAACCTTTACAAATGGTTGTCATCTTGCCCATGTGGCATAACTATGCTTTTCTCACAAAGACAACTGAACCTTTCTGGCACACCAGACCTTAATGTTGACTGTGATCCTGTAACGCCCCACTGAACAACTTGTTAGAGGTCTGCCCTTTGATATGGGGATGAGTCTAGTGGCTGGTGTAATCAGGGTTGTTCCCTTCCTTAGGGTTTGGAGCCAGTTCTTTCTGGAGTCACAATTCTGATGAACAAACATGGGTATCCTAGCATCCTAATCTCCAACAGGCCTGGTTAGCATGCTACTTATCTACGGGGTGTTTTACAGGCAGTCCTTCCTCAGCTAAATTCTCCTTGGTATCACTATCTCCTAAGCATTAGTAATTCCTTTACATTTCCAATTCTCCTCTTTTACATCACAGCTTGATACTGGATTGCTACCCAACACATGAGATGCCTTTTACAGCCTCCACAAAATTAACTCTAAATGGATCGTACACCTTAATGTTAAATGCTAAGAACCGAACTTGTAGAAAGAAACTAGGGCTGAGTTTGGTATCATTCTAAGAATGTTTCTAAACCCAAGGCACTCTTCCAATCGCTCTGCGCCGATGCAGCCGCCATAATGAAGTTATTTAGAGGCTATCGCTGGGTCCGACCAGTGGCTAGGACAACAAGGGACCTCATAGGTGGCTGCATCTGGCCTCCGGTTCCTACCCAGCCTCGGGAAAGACCCACCACATCAGCTCCCGTTGCTCAGCCCCCTGCTCCTCCTGGTTGTTGGCAGAGACCCTGTGCTCACCATGTTGCAACTTTGAAACTAGTCTTGCCAGCGAGCTTCACAGCATCCGGTGGCAGGACGGACAGCACATCACACCGGAACATTCAAGCATGCTCAGAGACTAAGAGGAACCCGCAGCATTGGATCCGGAAGAACTCGCCTCCTCTTCTGACTAGCAGGTCCGCCTGAAGGCTCTGATTGGCCAGCGAGCTTGAGTGACATGAGCACCCTCTCTAGGGTAAGTGTAGAGGTTCTCAGCACAGGCTTCCAATCCAGAGCCAGACCTTTTCCAGACCAGCAGGGATATGCTCTTGAGCTTGTCCTCCAGTAGCCTACCCATCGATCTCCCCTCCCAGCCCCGGGGAGGATCCACCAGTCCACCTACCACTGCTCAGCCGCCTGCTCATGCACTTTGTGGGCAGTGACCCTGTGCTCACCAGGTCCTTGACTTCAGCCTGAGTTCCTCTCACTGCACTCAGTAGGTTCTTTCCCTTTTTCCTTCTGGAACCAAGGTAGATAGCTTTCATAACTCATTACTCAACTTGCTGTGGAGTTATCAGTCTTTCCCATAAGTCGAAGGGTGCCTAGGATCGTAGCAATTAAAGAGAGATTTTGGGAAACAAGATTTGTGTTTTGTGGCTGTTGAGATTCAGTCTTGGAACAAGCTGCTGATGTGCATATTCGACAAGATAAGGCTGGCCTGGCCTCCAGATGCTCCCAGCACTCCTCAGCCCCCACCTGTTACAGGGCATGGCTAGCACATCCTGCCTTGTACCCTGAACTTTCCAGCCCAGGGGCTGCTCACCCCCCCCCCCAAGTTCTTCCTATGTAATCCAGACATTTTGTGCTCTTTGTCTCTCTGTTTCTCTGTCTCTGTCTCTCTCTGTCTCTCTCTGTGTGTGTCTCTCTCTCTCTCCCCCTCTCACTCTTCGATCTCCCTCTTCCCTTCTTCCTTCTCCTTCCCTCTCCATTTCCCCTCTTCCTCCCCTGCCCCAGCATATTTTTCTCTCCTTGCTTGCCTTGCTAGCTGTTTCCCCCAAACCACTCCCCTCATTCTCCTTCCCAATAGGGACTTCTCTCACCTGGGGGAAGGGCACAGTTTAATTAAGAAAAGGAAGGAAAAATGGAATCAGCTGCCCCTTAACAAATATATTTTTGACTCATTTCTTTGTTTGAAACAGTGTCTCCCTAGCTGACCTTGATTCACTAAGCACACTATAATGAATAATACACATTGAATCTGTAATAAGTAATATTAGTTATTTAATCCTGTGCCTTTGGACCATAATTCCTAGTATGACAGTTTTCTATCCTATAGAAGAGGGATCTGAGAATTTATTTGATATTGGTTTGGCTAGAAGTAAAAGAGAATGTTCTTCCCAGGGTTGATTTTTCATCGACGTTTAGATCTGTCAATCTTGAAATCACTTCTAACATCAAAGACATAGGACTGTTGTTAACTGCTCTAGAGCTAAAGTTAGAAAAATTTTCCTCCTTGGTTCCTATAGTTGGAAGGGGAGATTTTCTCTGTTCTGATCTTCAACAGACCACTTCTGTATAGTTACCTTTCTACTGCTGTCATAAAAACACACCTTGGCCCAGACAAATTATAATTGAAAGCATCAAATTGAGCTTACAGTTCCAAAGAGTTAGAGTCAGTTATGGCAGTATAAACACATGGCATCAGGAATGGCCTAGAGCTCACATTTGAACCCTAGACAAAAGGTAGGAAGAACAGTGGGCATGTTCAGAAGCTTTTAAAGCCTCAAAATGTACCCATGAGACACACCTCTTTCAAAATGGCCATACTCATGCTCCTTCCCAAACAGTTCCACCAACTGAAAAATACGTGTTCATTGATATGGGAGCTATTCTCATTTAACTGTCACGTATTTATTCAATTCTTAATGACAAATACTTTTTATCCTATGACATTCTACCATATCCTTAAATGAGATTGTTATGTTTTTAACATACAATGCCACAGAATAAACAATTCTATTCCACAAAGAATCAGAACATAGCAAAGAATGAACAGACCAAAGTAAGACCAAAATCCAGGAGGGAAAACATTAAATCTTGTAGATCTTTCTTCAGCTACTTGAGATTATGATGAAGTTGTCTGGACTCCAAAGGACTTAGGTATGCCCACTCTTCCATCTGGGTCAGCTGCAGTACCGCACATAGCTTCTTTTAGGTCAACCCCAGTACCTGCCTGCAGCTTTCCTCATAGCTTGTCCTAGAATTCCAAATCTCTTGTGTATGCTATTCTATTTTGTTGTGGCCTTCCCAGCTTTGAGAAGGTTCTTCCAGCCTCGGGCAGGCTGAACAGACCTTGAGTGCTTGCCTCAAGGACAATCATCCATTTCATCCAGATTTTTCCAAGTTTGTTGAGTATAGGCTTTTATAGTAAGAGCTAATTATTTTTTTGAGTTTCCTCAGTTTCTGTTGTTATGTCTCCCTTTTCATTTCTGATTTTGTTAATTTGGATACTGTCTCCTTGTCTTTTAGTTAGTTTGGCTACGAGTTTATCTATCTTGTTGATTTTCTCAAAGAACTAGCTCCTGGTTTTGTTGATTCTTTGTATCATTCTCTTTGTTTCTAATTGGTTGATTCTACCTTGAGTTTGATTATTTTCTGCCATCTACTCTTGTGTTTGCTTCTTTTTGTTCTAGACCGTTCAGATGTGCTGTTAAGCTCCTAGTGTAGGATTTCTCCAGTTACTTTCAGGGCATTTAGTGCTATGAATTTTCCTCTTAGCACTGCTTTCATTCTGTTCCATCGCCCCAGCCCACAGGAAATTCAACAAGGACCTAGGGAGGGGGCAAAAGAATGAAGGGACAAGAGACACAAAGAAGGAAAGCAAGTCTAGGGTTCTGATCAAGCTCTCAAATTGTATTATAGGGCAGCAGATTATAAGGGCATAGCAAAATGGGAAGGTTAGGCAAGGATCATTGCTTAAGGCCATCCCACTATCTAACCGGCTTCTGGGAAATACCAGACATTCTTTCAATTCCTGGGACCTGAGACCACAAACTTCCTTTCTTGATCTTGTACTTTAACTGACTAGTCTTTCAAGAACAGCGGGTAGTGTCATGAATTTGGCTCCTGGCATCCCATAGGTTTGGGTATATTGTATCTTCATTTTCATTGAATTCTAAGAAGTCTTTAATTTCTTTATTTCTTCCCTGACCAAGTTACCATTGAGTAAAGGGTTGTTCAGTTTCCATGAGTATGTGGGCTTTCTGTTGTTTTATGTTGTTGTTGTTGTTGTTGTTGCTGTTTTTATTGAAGACCAGCTTTATTCTGTGGTGATCAGATAGGATGCATGGGATTATTTCAATCTTCTTTTATCTGTTGAGGTTCTTTTTTTTTTTTGTGACAGATTATATGGTCCATCTTGGTCCATTTTATATGGACCATTATATGGTCCATGAAGCACTAAGAAGAAGTGAATTCTTTTGTTTTAGGGTGAAACGTTCTGTATATGTCTGTTAAATCCTTTTGGTTTATAGCCTCTATTAGTTTTACTGTGTCTCTGTTTAATTTCTGTTTCAATGACCTGTCCATTAATAAGTGTGGGGTGCTAAAGTCTCCCACTATTATTGTGTGAGATTTCATATGTGTTTTGAGCTTTAGTAAAGCTTCTTTTATGAATGTGGATGTCCTTCCATTTGGGGCATAGGTATTCAGAATTGAGACTTCATTTTGATGGATTTTTTTCCCTTGATGAGTATGAAGTGTTCTTTTTCATCACTTTTGATAAATTTTGGTTAAAAGTCTATTTTATTGGATATTAGAATGGCTACTGCAGGTTGTTTCTTGGGACCATTTACTTGGAAATATTTTTCAAGCCTTTTACTCTTTTACTCTGTCTTTGTCACTGAGGTGTGTTTCTTGAGTGCAGGAAAACTTGGATCCTGCTTGCATATCCAGTCTGCTAGTCTGTGTCTTAGCCTATGTCTTTTTTATTGGGGAATTTAGTCCATTGATGGTGAAATATATTAAAGATCAGGGACTGTTAGTTCTCATTATTTTTGTTGTTGGAGATAGTATTGTCTGTGTGTGATTCTCTTGGGTTTGTTGTGAGATAATTAATTTCTTCTGTTTTCTTTGATGTAGATACCTTCCTTGTGTTGGAGTTTTCCTTCTAGAATCCTCTATAGTGCTGGATTGGTAGACAGATATTGTTTAAATTTGATTTTGTCATGGAATATCTTGATTGCTCTATCAATGATGATGATTGGAAGCTTTGCTAGCTATAGTAGCCTGGGCTGGCATTTTTGTTCTCTTAGGGTCTGAATGACATCTATCCAGGATCTTCTGGCTTTTTTACAGTCTCTGTTAGGAAGTCTGGTGTAATTCTGATAGGTCTGCCTTTATATGTTACTTGGCCTTTCCCCTTTACTGCTTTTAATATTCTTTCTTTGATCTGTATTTAGTATTTTATTATGTGACGGGGGATTTTCTTTTCTGGTCCAATCTATTTGGTGTTCTGAAGGCTTCTTGTACATTTATGGCCATCTCTTTCTTCAGGTTAGGGAAATTTTCTTCTATGATTTTGTTGAAGATGTTTTCTGGCCCTTAGAACTGGGAGTCTTCACTCTCTTCTATTCCTATTATTCTAAGGTTTGGTCTTTTCATTGTGTCCTAAATTTCCTGGATGCTTTGAGTTAGGAGCCTTTTATGCTTTATATTGTCTTTGACCATTGTGTTAATAATATTTTCTATGGTATCTTCTATACATGAGATTCTCTCTTCTGTTTTCTTGTATTCTGTTGGTGATGCTTGCATCTGTGGCTCTTGATCTCTTTCTTAGGTTTTCTATCTCCAGGGTTGCCTCCATTTTTGATTTCTTTATTGTTTCTACTTGATTTTTAGGTCTTGGACTGCTTTTTCAATTCCTTTACTTGTTTGATTGTGTCTTCCTGTATTTCTTCTTAAGGGATTTATTTGCTTCCTCTTTAAGGCCTTCTACCTGTTTGCCTGTGTTTTCCCGTATTTCTTTAAGTGAGTTATTTATATCCTCTTTAATGTTCTCTATTATCTTCATGATATGTGATTTTAGGTCAGCATCATGCTTTTCAGATGTGTTAGGGTATCC